TATTCGGGTCCTTGCTCAAAAATCACCTTATCAAGGAGTCCTTCCCCTATCATCATTTAAAATGATCACTAACAATGCCATGCTTATTTAAACCTTCCCTACCCTACTTAAGTTTTCTTTGTAGCACTTATATGATACTATATGTTTGCTGCCCTACAGTACAATGTAAGTTTTGTGAGCCAAGGATTTTTATCTTTTATTTTTATTGTCTATTACAGAACCTGGCACATAGTATGAAATATTTGTTGAATAAATGAATGTGTTGTAAAGCCATTGGAGGATTTTAAACTGAAGAATGCCATGGTCTAACTTGTTTCAAACAAGACCATTTTGAGGTGCTTCCTGGAGTGAAGAACAGTCTGGAGAAGGGCAAGAGTAGAGGCAGAGGACCCAATTAGGAGACTAGTATAATAGTCCAATGGAGAAAAGATGGTAGATTGATTTAGAGTGGAGGATATGATAAGGAGTCAGGGATGACTTAAAGGTTTTGGTTCGTGCAAGTGGAGCTAGCATTTACTGAGAGGAGGAAGACGAGGAGAAGTAATGGATAAATCAGTTTTCAAGAGAGATTAGGCTTTCTGGAGAAAGTGGTGATCCCCAAGGATTAGGCATAGAATGAGGGGTGGGACAGAAAGGGAGTGAAGAATTACAAGTAAAGGGAGCAGTCATGAATAATGCATGGAATAAAACAGCAGGGCTGTTTTTGGCTGGAGCCAAAGACAGTACAGGAGCCATTACGTGAAATTTAATAAAATTATAACAGTAAGGGCTCGGCACCAGGCCCCCTTCACAGACTTAATTCTTATAACCTTGCAAGAACAACTTTTAATAGATGTGGAAATCTGAGTTCAGTAGGATGCACTTAATTGCTTAAGGATTTACAAGCATAAAACTGTCATGTTGGAATTTGAATACAAATGATCCCCACACCTCTTTGAGCTGTTTCCATTAAATCACATTCTGGTAGTTTCACTTATTGAATGCTTTTTGAGGAAAAAAAAGTTTTCTAGATTGAAGTGGTTTGAGGTATTAGATCTTAATATTAAAATATACATATACCGATCTTCAAAGTCCTGAGAGAGGGAGAGGAGGAAGATGGCGGACTAGGTAAAAGCAGGGTTTGTCTCTTCCCAGGACTGCATTAAAATTACAACCAAATTATAAAATAATCAACATGGAGAATCACCTGATGTCCAGCTGATTATAACACCTACATCTGATAATGTAAAGGAGCCACATCAAAACCGGTAGGAGGAGCAAAGTCCTAAATCAGGCTGGACCCGCACCCTCAGGTGGTGGAGGATCACTAATAGGGAGAGAGAGAGGTTGCAGAGGCTCTCCTGAAGGAGAGGGGTGTCCTGGTCACATCTGGGGGCTCCCCAGCCCAGGGAAGAGGAAATTCCAATAACTCTGTAGAAACTAGAGGAGATTCTGGCTGTCTCGGTGAGACGGAAGGAGACTAAGCCCCTAGACTTCCCTTTGAAGGACCTGTGCAAAGGTTTTCTGACCTGTGGACACTTGCCCGGGACATCAGCTGTGGGTCTGAGGCTTGTGTGGGATTCATTCTGAAAAAGTCTCCATTACCTAGAGTCAGAAAGAGGGCTGGAAAGGCAGCCACCATTGTGCTTTGGTCCGCCCGCCCCTTCCCCCCCACAGACCACACCAGCTTGATTGTGCAGACCCCTCCCACAGAGCCATTAGGAGAAGCTGGTCTGAGGGGGATCAGCCTGTCCCACCTAACCTGTAGACTGCCTGGGGAAGTTGTTTATGGTTGGCTGCCAAGCCCTGAGCTGAGTGATTCAGAGTGAAGTACTCACAGCAGGGCGGCCATTGTTGTGAGCAGCATTTTTAATCCCAGCAACAGTGGCCAGCCAGCACAGTGAGCCCCATTTCAGAGTTAAGAGTCAGGCAGATCACTGCTGCCAACACAAACTTGGGCAGATATCTAGGACTTGTGAGCCAGTCCCAAACAGCAGTTGGTCTTGCTGTGATCTGGATCATCTGCAGGAACTTACAACAGTTAACAAATTTCTGGCAAGACAGGCTGTTTTGATCTGACAGCCACTGTCTCTCTGAGACCCCACACACCCAACCAGCAGGTATTATTGGCTTGCGGCCAAGCTCAGCTCCAAGTGATTCAGAACCAAGTGTTCACAGTGAGATAGCCATTGTTGTGAGTGGCTTTTCCAATCGCAGCAAAAGCAGCCAGCCCTGTAAGCTACATTTCCATTCCCAGCAGGTGACAGTGCTGTGAGCCACACTTCAGCAGTAGGGATAGGCAGATCACTGCTGCCATCAGGAACTTGGGCAGATATCGAGGGCCTGTGGGCCAGTCTCAGATAGCAACTGGTCTTGCTGTGACCTAGGTCTTATGTGGGAACTCACAACACTTACCAAATTTGCAGCAAGACTGAGGATGTATTGATCTGACTGCCAGTGTCTCTCTAACACTCCACCCCAACCCAACCTGCAGACTACCCGGGGCACTATTATTAGCTTGCTACCAAGCTCAGCTCCAAATGATTCAGGACCAAGTGTTCACAGCTGGGCAGCCATCACTGTGAGTGGGCTTTCCACTCGCAGCAAAAGCTGCAAGCCCTGTAAGCTACATTTCAGTTCCCAGTGGGTGACGAATGCTATGAGCCGCATTTCAGTGGAAAACATGGAGAGTGAGAGACAGCTTCAGATCTCTCTCCTTGAAACGACAATAAGCTGAACATCTAAAACGCAACAAAAAACACCCAAACTGCACACCATCACTTCTGAGCCTGGGATCTGCACATGAGAGCTACCACAGGTACTTTAAGGCATTATATAAAGCAGGGATCCAAGAGGCTTAGACACCACCTACTGGAAACCAAAAGAAAAGCACCTTCTTTGCAACAGACTACAGTCAGACCTTTATATAATAAACCTTCTTTCTGGAAAACAGCAATAATACACTTCTATTAATGCCTACGTGGAGAAATAGTCCATTAAACACCATGAACAACCAAGGTGACAAGGCATCTCAGAAAGAAAGAGAAAAATCTCCAGAAAATAAGCTTACAGACATAGAAATATGTGACTTAAGTGACAGAGAATTTAGGATGATACTTCTGAAAAAACTCAATGAGATCAAAAACAAATCATGTCAACAATTTCAGGAATTGAAGAAACAATTAGAAGAGCAGAGCAAGGAGATTGAAACCCTCAAAAAGAACCAAATAGAACGTCTGGTGATGAAGAACTCACTGCAAGAGTTGAAAAATGAAATAGCAAGATTGGGAAATAGAGTTGACCAAAAGGAGGAAAGGATCAGTGATATCGAAGACAGAAATCTAGAAATGCATCAGAAGGAAGAGAAAGAAACCGAGGAATGAAAAATAATGAAAGAGAAATATAAGAACTAGCTGATACCATCAGGAGAGGAAACATAATAATAATTCGCATTATCAAAGGCGAGGAAAAGGAGCAGGGACTAGAGAGCATTCTCAGACAAATAGTGGACGAGAATTTCCGAAATCTAAGGAATGAGCTGGAGCTTGGAATTCAAGAAGTCAACAGAACACCCAATTATCTCAACGCAAAAAGGCCTTCACCAAGACACATTGTATTAAAGTTATCAAAAATCAGTGACAAAGATAGAATTCTCAAGGCAGCCAGGGAAAAGAAAATGGTAACATATAAAGGTAAACCTATTGGATTATCCTCAGACTTCTCAGTACCAATCTTATAAGCCAGAAAGGAATGGAATCAAATATTTAAACTATCAAGTCAAAGGAACTGCCAGCCGAGAATAATGTATCCAGCTAAGCTCTTTAGATATGAAGGAGAAATTAAGATCTTTCCAGACATACAAAAATTGACGGAATTCTCTAATACAATACCTGCACTACAGGGAATACTGAAAGGGGTCAGCTCACCTAAAACAAAATGACAACAACAACAAAAATACATAATTAGGAGTAAAGTGACTATCAGGCAAATAGAAGCAGAGGAGTGCAGCCCTTACTAAGAACAG